CCCGCAGGTGGGAGCATCGCTGATGTCCGGCGGTGCTCTGCCGCTGCCGCGGGGCGTGATGGGGGCGCCGCCGTACGGCATGCCGCGCGGCCCGATGCCGGCGCGTTCGGCGGGCCGCCGATGCCGCCGATGGGGGCGCCACCGCGGGGCGGGCGGCCCGACGGCGGGTTCTCGTTCCCGCACGAGCGATTCGGGCCGCCCGACTCGTTCCAGCGTCCGCCGCCGCTGCTGGGCCGCGAGATGCCGCCCTACGCGTACTTCCCGGGCCGCTCCGACTTCGGCGACGGCCCGCCCGACTACAGACAGGGCGGCCCGCCGATGGGACAGGGCGGCCCGCCGATGGGGCGGCCCGAATTCGGCGACGGCGCGCACCAGGGACGCCTCGACTTCCGGCAGGGGCCGCCGGGCCGCGACTTTGGCGACGCCGGGGGAGGACACCGGCCGGACTTCCGGCCCGGGCAGCCCGCCGGGCGGCCCGAATTCGGCCAGGGGCGCCCGCCGTTCGACAACGCAGGCTTCGCGCGCGTCGGTGGAAAGGGTCCGGAATCTTCCCCGTTCCCGGCCAACGCTGACCGGACGTGCCGCGACTCGGGACGCGACGGGAACCATCCGGACGCCTTTCGTCCCGGACGCCCGGAGTTCGGGGAAGGCGGGCAGCAGCCTCCATCGTCGCTCGTCCATCCCGACCTGCGGGCGCGGAAGCCCGTCGAGCCGCCGCCGCCGCTGCCGTCGTCGTTCCCGGAGCGACCGCGACGCGAGTCGGGACGCGACGGGAATCATCCGGACGCCTTTCGACCCGGACGCCCGGAGTTCGGGGAAGGCGGGCAGCCGCCGGCGCCATCGTCGCTCGTCCATCCCGACCTGCGGGCGCGGAAGCCCGTCGAGCCGCCGCCGTCGTTCCCGGAGCGACCCCGGCGCGAGTCAGACGTCAGCGCCGGGAAGGATCCCCGGGACGAGCGAGGATCGGGATCGGGATCGGGATCGAGACAGGATCAGGAGCAGCTGCTTCCTCCTACGCTGTCTTCCGGACCCGGAGGCGGAGGCGAGCGCCAGCGTAACCCGGACGACGGGGATAAACAGCAGCAGCAGCAGCAGCAGCAGCAGCAGCAGCAGCAGCAGCGGGGACGAGGAGGAGCGTTCCCCGGCGACCGGGAGGAGGACGCCGACGCCGGGCATCGCCGTGACTACCGTGACCGTGACTACGGTCGCGGCGGCGGCGGCGGCGGCGGCGGCGGAGGAGGCGGGAGAGATTTCCGTGGCGGGCGTGGCGGAGGCGGCGGCGGGCGGGATTACCAGCGCGGCGGGAGAGGGCGCTACCCGCCGGAGCGCGACGCGCGCGACCGTTACCGCGACGACGACCGTTACCGCGACGACGAGCGTCGCGAGCGTTACGACAGGCGCGGGATCGCCGCGGCAACGGCGGAGGCGGGAGCTCCGACAAGGACGAGTTCGGACGCGACCGCCGCGACCGCTCGCCGCCGCGGCGACGCGACGCCGA